TGTATCTCGTGTATCTCGTGTATCTCGTGTATCTCGTGTATCTCGTGTATCTCGTGTATCTCGTGTATCTCGTGTATCTCGTGTATCTCGTGTATCTCATGTATCTCATGTATCTCATGTATCTCATGTATCTCATCTATCTCATCTATCTCATCTATCTAGTCTTAACTAATCTACCTGATCTATCTTATCTGTCTAATCTTCTGTGTAATTTATTTGATATACATCATCTATCTAATCTTCTGTGTAATTTATTTGATCTACTGAAATATCTAATCCATCTAGTCTACCTAATCTACCTAATTTATCTAATCTATTTCTAACTTATATCTAATTTACAACCTGTAGATATCTGTTCAAGTGTAGCTCTCTTAATAGGATCCCGACACAGCATACTGGATATCAGACTCTAAACAAAATAATTATCTATATATATAGATATAGATAGATATAAAGAAGAAATCTCTGTTTGTCAGTCTGTAATCTGTATGTATGTCCGATCATAACTCGTTACCTCCTGGTGAACCACGTGAATGTATTAAACTTGGTTTAAACTTCTAAGCGAAGCTGTGTTACCAAACTAATGTACTTTTATGTAGGAGAAACTTTTTTGATGTGCTTTTTAAGAAATGTTTGCATTTGGCTTGAAGTAATTCGGAATTTTTAAGATAAAACATTTTGTTAAAACTTTTAATATAACATTTAAATCATAATCCACGCAAATAATCAAAATGGGCAAATTTTTTACGCTTTTTATACTTAAAAACAAATTTTATATATTTATCTAACATATCGAACATCTGGAAGAAAAAAAAATAGGACGGGGTTTTGAAAAAATTTTATATCACTGCCCGATTGTGATAAAAGGTTGTTAACAATCCTTAGTGTATTAACCTGGCACTGTTTAGATATATGCGCAGGAACAGAATAGTTGCAATCCATTATCATGGTTAGAGTCTCACTATCATTGGCCTCCTATACACCCAACACATATAGCTTCAAATATCATTAATTACAAACTATTACTAAGGATGAAATAGCTTCAAATATCATTAATTATAAACTTTTTCTAAGGATGAAATAGCTTCAAATATCATTAATTATAAACTATTTCTAAAGATTAAATAGCTTAAAATAGATTAAGGGGCGGTTCACTTCCACAGGGATTAATTTCAGAAATGATTTGTGATGCTTTTATCATCGTTTTTCATACTTTTAACCAAAACTTCATATATTTTCCCATAAAGGAAATATACACCCTTTTTCACTTAATTAAATACAAACCGTACCATTGAAAAATATCGCTGTTTCTGACGTGGTCTTGATATTGAAATTCTATTTCAAAAGATTTAATATTAATATTAGAAAATTGATTTGTTTTAGGGCTTTCAAATTGAGAGTGCTGAAAAGATCAGATAAATAGTAAAAATAAAAAAACGGCGTAGACCTCACTAACTCTATTTCTAAAGAAAGCTTGCGTCAAAATTTCGTGTTTAACAAAATTGGATGTTCACAACAAATGTCACGAAAGAGCTTATCTGAGTCTCATCTTGGAAAAAATATAGAAATAGTGATATTGTTCATATTGCAGCAGCAGATGCATCAACCTATTTGAAATTTTAATCATCCATAAACCTTCACTGAGGTCATGTGAGGTCCCATGGTTATTTAGGCCCGATCGAATTAGCCGTCTTCGACGTTTACTGGATACAAACAGACAGACAGACAAGCAAAGTATAAATATAGATATTATATTTTCTGATTTCCTAACACATTCGGGATGCTTCTCAGCTCCACACTGGGAACAATGCAGGAAAACCTAGAGTATAGATTTCCATAACATATTTTTTTAAGACCCTAGAGCTTCAAAACTTGAATTTGTGGGTTCAGTTTCTAATAGCTTTTCATTCTTATGATTTAAAAATTCTTTCGACACATAATTAGATTAAGACTTTTTAACTAAACAATGTATTTATTTATAATTTAAAATTATCTTTGTCTTGAAAAAATTGATAGGACTAATGATTGATTGTTAACATGTGTTGAAATGGTCAAAACTTTTTAAGCAGTGATGAACTGTCTCTGAGAGATGAAATGATGCAGTACATCGGTTCCAATAGATTAGCATAATTAACTCTAAATTCGGATCCTCAATAAGTGCTGAATTCCGAATGGAAAAGTGCAGCATATTTTTTCGTTTTACATTTCATTCTTAAATATTAATATCGGTTAAACAACTATACATAATATATATATAACTATATATANAATATCCCATAGGCCAGGCAGACATAATATCCCATAGGCCAGGCAGACATAATATCCCATAGGCCAGGCAGACAAAATATTCACAAGATTTTGTTTAAGGTCTCGATTTAACTAAATCTAAAGGTAAGGCAATCATTTTCTATTATGCATTCTCGGGAAAGGTTCGTAAAGGTTCAACGGAATAGATCCGGAAATTATCGGAAATTAGAAATCGGATTTGTAGCTATACATTCCTGAAAGGGAGCTGCCCCACAAACCAGCATATACAAGATGACCCCAAGGCTCCAAATGTCTACAGCCGGAGCATCGTAGGCGTCTCCTGGAAAAGAAATTTCCATGAAAAAAAAACAGATTTTACAATATTGATTAGGGTTTCTTCATTCATAACTGTATTGAAAATATTCAGACATTTAACTATTTCTAAACAAAATTAAAAGTATTTTTGCGTGATTTATAAAAAAAATGTTGTAAACAAGTTTTTTAAATATGAAAAATCCGTCAATGCAATTTTTTGAAAAAGATAAGAAAACTTTTAAGACAACTGCATCCAAATTTCATTAATAAATGTACGATAAAAAATCAAAAAGCACGCAACATAAATGATTTTAGTTATAATTCTGCTTTTACGGAAATTTATTTTTTCATGTTGGGTAATTCATTTTTAAGAAATTTACTTAAAAATTTACACGTTTATAAAAGTTACATCAAATTTCTCATTTTCCATCCCTACAAATCTATGAAAACATTTTTAAGGAGAGAAGGGGAAAGTCTACAAAATATATATCCCCCTGTATTAAGAATATATGCGAGTATCGAACCTAGTAATATCTCTGGAGCGGAGTAGGCTAGACTACCGCAGCTTGTCATCAGTCTCTCCCCTGGATCGAACTTGTTACTGAACCCGAAATCTGTCAACTTCACCATGCCCAGCTTCTCAAAGAACACCACGTTCTCTGGCTTCAAGTCCCTGAACACAGATAAATATACCGTCGTTTTTCTGACTCGAATAGTGTTCAATTTATGTACAATTTCTCCATTACTTATCATAAGCAAGAAATTCGCTTTATCATTTTCGCAGAGAAACCGAAAAGGAAAATAACCGGTTTAAAGAAACTAAAAGAAGGAGATTTAATTCATACTTGATCAGACAAAGTTTTTAAAGGCACCGTTTTAAATGGGACATTGCCATCTTTGCATGGAGGATAACTTGATTTTTTATTTACCCCTATACTCATAATTTTACCCTCTAACTCAATTTCACCCACCTGGACTTGTTCTTAACTCATTTTCTTATTTTCTCATTTTCCACCTAATCCGACATTTTTTCTCTTCAGCGACTAATTTGTATGCCTTTGACTAATTTTTAATCCATTTATATTTTTCCCCATTCGATTCCCTCAATTCAACTCACTAATTATTTTTTTACTAAATTTAAAAAAATAAGATCTTGTAATGACCAAATATCGTCTTGGCACAGAAAGAGAAAATGCGGGAACAAGAAAACACAAATCTGCAATCCAGTTTTTATCTGTTCTATTATGACTCCCCAACAACACGAATGCTATCAGGTACCCACCCCTCCCCGCAACCCTCTGCCTACTCCCGGAGTACGTGGATCACAGAGTTAGCATATAATGTGCAATGATACTATTATGCCCGATTGGAAGTAGCCGAAGCCGTGAAGCCCCAACTACCGTGGCCTGTATCTACAGCCTAATTTTGTTTTTAGAAATGTTTTTTTTTCTTCTTGACATTAACGCCCTCCAACCCTCTGGCCGGATCACTTCACTATAGCCCAGTGGCTCTATTAGTAGTTTGTAGTTCTTAACCATGTATAGATGTGCTATATATTTACACATGTATTCTGTATGTTAAACCTATTCTGAGCTGTGCTAGAGATAAAAAAAAAGAAAAATGTGAGTTTAATTTAAGTTTCGGAGATTTATTTCTTACCTATGTACAACATGAAGCATGTGACAGTACTGTATAGCTGTGACAATTTGTTTGAAGTATTTTCTTGCTTTTTCCTCCCCTAATCCTCCCTCATGCTGTACCAGAATACATTCTTAGTGGGGGAGCACGAGAACTTTAGATATGTAAAAAATAATAACATAAAATCAGAATTTTAGTCCACTTAAGCTTAGAGGTCTGAAGTATACTGTATTTTCAAAATTCAAAATTGGCCATCATTAACCAGGTTTTTTGCCCTTTTTTGATATTCTCTCTATAAAAAGTCATAATTACTCTCCCTCAAACATCGTTTATGTTCCCAAATTCAGCAAAAAAAACCCTAGACATCAGACGATTTTCAAAAAGACGGGGAATGCTCTTTCGAGAAAATATAAACCCCTACAGTAGAAAAGAAAAAAAATATAAAAAAGAATTGGATTAGCTGGAAAAACTTAATGAAATTAAAGAAATTAAAGAAATTAAAGAAATGAGCTGAAAATGTAAATAGTTAACAGCGGGGACGAAAACGCTGATTAAAAGTACAGCAAAGATTAGCAAAATTATTATTACAGTGCAATAAAACAATATATTGCAAGAAATATTAGATAAGAAGGTTATTAATACTTCACTAATTTGTTTGCACACGGTTGCTAAAAGGATGAGGATATGGACAAGAATCANATCTTACATCTAGTATAAACATGTCTAATGTTTGCGTAATCTAAATTATCTTAATCGGTAAATCAAAAAAGGATGATGCTGGTTTAGTAAGAATTAATTTGACTCGCCCTTATAGCTAGTTATTAAATAAGTAACTAACTAAGTAAATAAACAGTGGTCCATAATATAATTCCATCTAATACGATCCTAAATGTGGATTGATTGATATTAGGGACAGAAATTAACCATGTTGTTATTGTAAACAATTGGAAGTATGATGTCAAGTTGTAGAAAAAATTCCATACTGGAGTGTTTATTTTTCTGTATGTGTTAGTGTAAGTGTTGTACACGTACACAACAAAACTTTCTAAAGTTACAATGACACAGAAAGTATATTTTCATGCCCTTAAGCGTATTTTTTGGATCAGAAATGGAATTATGTGGACCCCTGTAATAGGTAAATAATTAATATTTTTAAATTGTCCATTTAGTTGAATGTATTCTGTTCCTTCATGATATAATCGTACATATCCCCTCCATCTCCTAGCTCAAGGATCAGGTACAGCTTTGTCGCGGTGTCTATCACCTAGAACACAAGTATTCCTTTAAAGGGACCGTTTAAATATCTAGTCTATAGCAGACGAACCAACTTTAAAGATACTGATTTTGCATATATATATTAAACAAAAAGGACGCAACATAACTGATTTTACCTATAATATCTACTTTTAGGGAATTTTATTTGATTTCATGTTAGATCTTTTAATTTTAGAAATAGACTAAAAAATTAATAATTTACACTTTCCAAAAATGTTCTAGAAAATATGTCGGTTTTATAAAACATGAGATTGATATAATTAAAATTCTCTGTTCAATACTAGTTAAATCCAGTACTTGTACCTCGTATAGACGAACCACATTAGGATGTTGGACTAGTTTCATAAGTTTAACTTCTTGCAGCATCTGAGTCTGTGTGGACTGATTCCACCGTTGCTTGTCAATAACCTACATTAAGAAAAAGGTTAGAATAAACTTTGATAAAATAGAAAATAAAAAATGCGGAAAACCACAATATTTCTCCCGCATTTTCGCTTAGACGGTGAATTTTAGAGATCCTTTCAAGTTTCTACTTTTTAAGAGAGGTTTAATCAAAAACCCTGAATTAAAACAATAATACTATAACTCCAGACTTTAAAACTTAAAAGATGATCAACGGTTGTAAGTTATGATAGGTTATATAAAAAAAAATCAAGAGAGTAGCGAAGAGAAAATCAGACATGTTTTTAAATCATGATTTCCGGGCAAAATGTACATCAACTTATTGATTTGAATTTACATTTTTGTTGATTTATTCGACGTTATACTTCATATTTTTAAAAGTTTTAAATAAACCAATTGTAGAAACAAAATAAAACAATAGAAAAAAGTGCGATGCAGAAACGGTTGACGACTGAATTAAATCTTCATTTGGAATACAAAGCAGAAAACAATAGTCCCATTTACAGAAAAACTTCATTATAGTTCTATGATATGTTTGGAAATATTCAAGAATCCCTCCCCCCCCCCCATAGAAGAGTAGGATAATTGCTGGGATCTTTTGCTTTGCAACTCTAAAATACTGCAATGCAAGGCGTAGTCAGGGAGGGGCTGTAGGGGCTGAACCCCCTGGATCAGTAAAATCATTGTTTCTATCGGTTTACAGGCGAAGTGAGCTGAATCCCCCCTGAAAAGAAAAAAAATTAACCCTCCATTGAAGAATTCCCGATAACGCCCCCATAATTCAAATATCAGACTCAAAACTGAAATAATCTTGTTAAATTTTTGTTTAATCCTGACACTGTACCTTGACTGCAACTTTCTCCCCAGTAAACACGTGTCGAGCAAGCTTGACAACTGCATAGTGTCCCTCTCCTAGAAACAAATTCTTATATACTAGCTGAAGGGCCCGGCGTTTCCTAGTGAACAAATTTGAAAAAAATAATAATTTTAGTCTATAACACCCCCCGGCCACCCATGAGTGTCCACAAAAAATTCAGCCCAATCGGTCCAGCCGTTTGGCCGGCTATTATAGGCAACATATATATACGAATCTCTTGTTTTATTATATAGAAGGAACTGTAAGAGTAACTTTCAAGTGACCCCCCATGCAAAGATGGCAATGTCCGATTTAAAAAGTTCCCTTTAAAAGCTTTGTATGATCAAGACAAAAATAGCTATCAATGTTTTTAATTCTAAAAACTGATTATTTTCTTTTGTGGGTTCTCTACAAAAAAAGTCAGTACAGGAAAACCAGGCGCGCAACTAGACATTCATTAAGAGGAGGGGGGGGGGGAAGGGAAAATATTTCCCTCCCCCCTAAACATTTCTGGGGGGGGGCAGAAAAATGTGTATTATACTCAACCATGAAAAAAACGACCTTAGGATACTTTGGAGGCAAATTATTAGGGCATTCTTTTCAGTTTGGAACAAGTTTCTGTAGGAAAAATCTTAAACTACATTTCAGGGGAAAATTAAATTTTTTGGGGGAAATCATCGTTTATCCAGTTTGGTCAATTTTGTGTTTGGGAAATCATAAATCTTTATCATGGTGTAATTTTTTTTATTTTCATATTTTATTTTTGAAACTACATGGACCCCTATCAAGGATTTCTTGCCCCCCCCCTTAATCAACATAGTTTAAATGGACAAAAAAATAGTTCAAATGAACAAAAAAATAGTTTAATTTGAACTATTTTTTATCTAACCTAACCTAACCTAACCTAACCCTAAATAACAAAAAAATAAATAATAATAAATTTGCTGAAAAATAAATGGTCATGTACAAAATTGATAGGAGGGGGGGGCCTGGGGGGGGTCCAAAAATCGTTCTCTAGGAAATTACCATTTGGCTCAAACAGCATAATTGTTTATTACAAAACAAAAGAATTTCTATATTTACCAATTGTTTCTTCTAGATCGTATAGTCCTGCGATCTTGTTTCTAGATTCAGTCATTCTAACATGACAACTAAACTCATCTCTGAAAATCAGATTTAAGGTTTAACTGTTGATATTTCACAATATGTAATATTTTTAAAATCCCGTGGCCATGTTTCAAGAATTTCAGTCTGTTTTCTGTAAAATTCAGATTCAAGAGCTGTCAAGAAGTGTTGAAGGTAGATAGATAGATAGATTGGTAAAGGTACACTGATTTCAGGGCCATTCATACAGATATAAACCATTATACTGCGCAGTCAACTAAACTCAGATGCGAAGGGACAATTCACCGATTTTAACATAAGGTCTTTTTACTGCAAAGTTTTTTTTATACCAGAAAAAAAATAATTTAAAACAAAATATAAACATAGATGGTAAAATGTTATCTAAATTATCTTGCCCCTAATTGAAAAAAGATGCTACCCTAAAAAGATAGGGTGAGTAGCAAAAAACCGGGATTATCGATGTTTTTGACAAAAATTTTATTTTGTTCTGATTTTGGACATAAAAATATGGTAAAAAATTCAAAAATATTTTTGTAAACTTAAATAAAAAATTTTATAGAAATTCATGAAATTAAATGAGATATAACAAAACAGAGCGTCCCATATCATATTAGATTATCTCCAATCTTTAACACCAATACAAACCCTTAATACTCGAAAAACTTATCATTTTCCACAAGAAAATTCTTATATAAGCCTTATATTATTTTTCAAATGATTCATTCTAATTAAATTTTCTAATTAGTCCCGAAAATCGTAATTTAGACCCATTCTCGGTCTAATATAATGTGGGACACCCTGTAAGTCAATTATTTGCATTTTTCAAGTCATATCTAAGGCAGTCGTACAACTAGGGGGGGGGGGTATGGGGACCAGGCCCCCCCCAGCCTCTGTTTTTTTGGGGATCCATGCCTTCCCCCCCCCCCCCCCATTTAGAAGGCTTGCCTGCAGTCCTTATCATGGAGTCCATTAGTTCCAAATATAACTAATTTTCTTGAAAATTTAAAGAAAACAATTAGGCCCCACAGTAATTTTTTCAACGGCCTATAAACTCATTTATGCCCCCAACTCATAAAGCAGTCAAATTCCACTAAAACATTTTTCAATGCTCAGATTCTTTTTATTTTTGCCCCCTTTCTGAAAATTTTTTTAAATTATACTCACAAATTCTTTTTCAATTTGCCCCACCACCCGGGCCTCATTTGCAGAATATCAGAAGAATTCCTGCACTCTATTATCATCAGGCCTAAGAAGCTCTTAGGCAGCTGTAATCTTGTCAACCCTCTTCTCGACAGTATCAATGAAGCGTGGATGGATGAATGTGCGGCCAGATTACAACCCCTGGTAGATCAATATAAACCCAGACAACACCAAACTTTCGCAATAGAAAAATTCCTATATTTGACCGTAACAACCCGATCATGTCCTGGGGACAAAAATTTGCCCCGCCAGACTTGTTTGACCCCCCTTTTTTAATGACTATGATTACAAATATGTATAAGTTGCACCAAAATTTTATTTATTTTTATCCCCAAATGTTTTATAAATGCATCCAACTTTAAGGTAATTACTCCAAAATTAAGAATTTTTGCACCCAACCAACCCTTTCATTAAATAAAAAAGCCCCTTCTATATACTTTAAAAATGTCCATAAATAAAAAAATTTCCCTAACTGAAAAAAGACCCCCAAAACAAAATTTGCCTCCAGAGCAAAGATTTAAGATTTACCCAAACTGAAAATTGCCCCCCCCCCAAAAAAAAAAAAAATTGCCCCTGAAATATAAAATTAAGATTTTTCCTAACAAACTGGCCCAAACTGAAAAGAATGCTCCCAAATATAATTTTTTTTTCTTAGTAGTTTAAGAATTAGAAATGTTTAAGGGGGCCAAAAAAAATTTCCGCCCTTCGCGCAAACTATTTGCCCTTTGCCCCCAACCTTGCGCAATGTCTTATTGCGCGCCTAAACTTTTTTTCAGATAAAAGGAGCTGCAAAACAAATATGTTATAATTATATTATAGGCTATTTCTATCAAATCAAAAATTATATGACATGCACATGATTATAGAGATATTTTTATCAGAAAAAAATCGATTTAATTTGGTACTGCAATGTATTTTTCAAATGGCATTATAATATCGCAGTTAAAAGTTACACAATTCTTCTTCTTCATCCATTCATTTGGAATGCTATCTCATTTGGACTACTGCCGTTTGAACTATTGTTCATTTGAACTATTGTTCATTTCAACTACTGCACTGGGACCACGCGAGTAGTTTAAATGAACAATAGTTCAAACGAGTAAATATATTGCTCATTTGAACTATTTTTTTCCATTTGAACTATTTTTCTTTTTCTGTCCATTTGAACTATTTTTTTCCATTTGAACTATTTTTATGTCCATTTGAACTATTTTTTAGTCCATTTAAACTATTTTTTTTTTCATTTGAACTATTTTTTTCCTTTTGAACTATTTCATTTGAACTATTTTCATGCTCATTTGAACTATTTTTATGTTCATTTGAACTATTTCATTTTTCCTTTGAATTGAACTATTTTTATGTTCATTTGAACTATTTCATTTGAACTATTTTTATGTTCATTTGAACTATTTTTATGTTCATTCTGTGTAATGTTTATCTAATTAATTGTCATGAATATAACTTTATGAAGATTATAAAAAAAATTTTAAAACTGAATTGGGATAGAAAAATAGTTCAAATGAGCAAGAAATGCGGTGATTTAAACTACAGGATATGACGTCGATCAGTAGTTCAAATGAACAATAGTTTAAACGAACAATAGTTCAAACGAACAATAGTTCAAACGTACCATAGTTCAAACGGCAGTAGTTCAAATGAGAATCCACCTTCATTTGGAGGCAATTCGCTCCTCTTTAATTCTAAATTAACAGGGTATACGAGGGGGGGCCTGGATGCAGGCCCCCCCTATGTGTGCCCCCCCCCTCAGGAAGGGGGGCACGCCTGGGGGGCTTATTTAATAGCTGTTTCCCTTCCTCAGACAATCTACATTGCACTCACCCAAACTAAAAGATTAAGAAAAGAAATAAATTATGTTCTGATTCACAACAATACCCTTCAAAGCTTGGTCTGATCAAGTATTGCATTAACCATGTTTCCCATTTTGAAAATTTTGTGGTTTCTCTACTTCAGAAACGATGGAGAAATGAAGGTTTCAAAGGTACATCGGACATGCCACTCTATAAATTTAATGTCACTTGAAATTATATGCATGTATTCCTTTAAGTATAATTACATCATCTAATAAAAAATACTTTTAAATCTCACAATTGCCTTTAACTGTTTCATTAAAAAATCTTTAATCCATATTGTTAAACCTTAGGTCTAATTAAATGATACGTGGTGGGGGTTGAAAAATGTTTATTGGTTAAAACTTGTTACGGAATATATGTGAGCATTATTACTGTGTAGTTAGTTGCTGTGGGGGAATTTAGGAAGCTTCTCAACTGCTGGTATTGATGAACCTTTAGAGCTGTCTGGAGCAGAACTGTAGAAGGCTGCTTCTGTATGGGAACTGCTTGAAGCTGTAGGTGTAGATGAACCTTTAGAGCTGTCTGGAGCAGAACCATAGAAGGCTGCTTCTGTAAGGAGCTGCAAGTGTAGACGAACTTTCTGGTTCAGGACTTGGTCCGAAAATGATAATTCTATTCTGATTTTAGAATATCAATAAAATGCCCTTTTTGTTGGTACAGAGTTGATTTGAGAACTCTGGAGCTGGGCAAGGGACGGCTGCAACTGATGATATCATTTTTTCTAGATTTCAACATTAGATTTAAGCCGTAGTTTTAACCTTGAGCCTTTACTTCAAAATACACAGTGTTCACAGGATGTTCACAAAAAATACAAACATATAAATGCATTTTAACTATTCATAAAAGCACAAATATCAATTCTTAAAGAATCTGGTATATTCGTTTGTGAATTTTACAAAAAAGGAGTTTTAGTTTATGTAAACACCCAACAGAGTTCCCATATACAGAAATAATTGATTCCAACCATGATCTGACATTCTTTGTTAAAAATATGCACTTTGAACTCCGTTACAATCTCCCCCCTTTAAAACAATTTTTATGAAAAGAATCAGAAAAAAAATATTTGAAAATTATGAAGCTGGGAAGAATAAAAGACAAAGTTAAAAAAACTTGTAAAGCTTAGTTTAAATTTATCCTCTTATTTTGTTGTCATGACCTAATTATATTAGCCAATTCCTATCTTCAGGAACCAACAAGTTTTTTTTAAGAGTTTATATCCCAACAGAACAATTTTCTGAATTTTTGGAAACCCACTTTCTTTTGCCAAACAAATTTCAAACCATAATCCTGCTTTGCTGTCTATAAACAGTTGTTTTTGCACAATTGTAAAATAACAATCTTTAGAGATAATGTTGCAGTATACATAATAAGCTTTATTAAGGGGTGCCACCCATGTATACAAGTTGGATTTTGTTTCAATAAGCATGAACATACCAAGAAAGAAATGAATATTTCTCCACCCCACTTCAACCATATTGAAGGAAGTGAATCAACTGCTAAATAAACTCTAAAATTGATATTTCAAATGTGCTCATTTCAATTATAATTAGACGGTTGTGACAGCAGGCGGAATCTCTGGTATGTAACGATGGAGCAGGATAATGGGAACAAGAACTTGAACTTTAAGTTGAACAGAAACTGAATCAGCAGCACAGTATCTGTCTGCATGCAAAGCTGAATGCTTTAATAGCTTTGTTAAATCTTCCACAGGTTCAAAAAGATCTGCAGGTCAGGGGTATAACAAGAGTTAAACAGGCGGTAGGCAAACAGGCTTAAACAACGATAGGTAACTGGGAACAGGTTCGCGCCCCACCATTTGTTAAACCTTAGGTCTAATAAAATGATACGTGGTGGGGGTTGAAAATGTTTATTGGTTAAAACTTTTTACGGAATATATGGGAATGTTATTACTGTGTAGTTAGTTGCTGTGGGGGAATTTAGGGAGCTTCTCAACTGCTGGTATTGATGAACCTTTAGAGCTGTCTGGAGCAGAAC